AGAGTTTATGACTCGGTGTGAGAACCAGTACTCAACAGCAATATGATTTCTTCTTGGCTTTTGAACTCTCTTGCTATGTCCTCTAAGGTGTTCCGACCTGGTGGGAAGGAAAAGAGAGAATAGGTCAGGTCTGTAGCCATTATTTAAAACTTTAAACATTGTGATTAAATCTCTTCTCTGCCAACGGCATGACAGGGAGAAGAGATTTAAAATGTCTAGTCTTTCCTCATATGGTAAATTAGTCATGCCGAGAACCATACGTGTTGCCTACCTTTGAACCCTTTCTAGAATGTGTGAGTCCCCTTTAAGACAAGGACTGTTTGCCTGGATACAGTTTTCTAGTCTTGACCTCACCAGAGATGTATATAAGGAGGTGAAAATATCTCTGGTGATTCTAGTAAAGGCTCTGCGAATTGCCCATAAGGACCTGAAGCTACGTGCAGCCACCGCGTGACAGTGTGCTGTAGTTTTTAAGTAGTGGCTAACTATAACACCTAAGTCTAAGTGAGTCTGAACTGATGGGAATGTTATTCCCTCTAGTTCGTAGGAGCTGGTGCTGACTTGTACTTTCTGCCACACTGATCGAGCGCATCCACTCTACGGAGCACTCTGACAATTTGTTGAGGTCCTCTTGCAACGTGGATGTATCACTGTTGCCCTTCAGCTCTCCAAATTTTTAGGTCATCTGCGTATAGGACCATAGGGGAGTCGGTGAGCAGAGATAACTCATTGATATACAAAATAAATAGGAGAGGTCCGAATGCCGTGCCTTGTGGCACTCCGCTAAGTACTGCTGTCCAAGAGGAGAGTCTCCAGTTGATTCTAACCCTCTGCCTCCTATCTGTGAGGGATTCCCTAATCCATTTAAGTAATCTGCCTTTGATACCAGGACTTTCCAACTTCATGAGTAGTCTTTTGTGAGGCACTTTATCAAAGGCTTTGCTGAAGTCTATGAAGATGACGTGAATGGGTCTTCTTTTGTCCCTTGATTTGACCCAGCTTTCTCTTGCAGTGAGGGGATTTGACAGGCATGAGAGGTTTCTTCGGAAGCCGTGATGTGCTCTGGATAACAAGCTGCTGTTTTCCAGATATGCCATGATGCTTTTCTTGATGATTCTTTCCAGTGTCTCGATTAAAGTGCTGGTGAGACTGATAGGCCTGTAATTTGAAGGGTTACCATGGCGTCTTTACAGTCACGTGGTAACACTCCATTTAGGAGAGATAGCTTGAAGATCATGGTCAGTGGGCCGGCTATGTGAGCTGATAGCCCCTTGAGAAGCCTTGGATGAAGATTATCAGTACCCATTGATTTCCCTACCTCTGGTTTCATTAGGCAGTTGAGCACAATGCCTTGGTCAATGTCAACGGAATCTATCCCGTATTCCTCTGATGCAGCCAGAGCTGATCCTATAAGGAGTGGTGACTCCTGTATGAAGACTTGGGAGAGGTAGTTTGCCATTGCTTTTTCTTTTTCTTGATCTTCTTCGATTGTGTCATCGTCAATAGTCAGGTTTGGGACACCATTGGATGTTTTATTCCTGAAGTTCATGTATGAGAAAATTTTCTCAGGTTGTACTTCGAACTTCATACTTGATGGGAGGATTTCTGCAATGGCTTTATTTCTAGCAATGTTATATAATTCCTTGGTCTCAGGAGTCTCAAGTGTGGCAAACATTTATGTTTACGTCTAAGTAACTTACGAATCACTCGGTTTATCCAGGGGGCAATGTTTCCGACCTTTTGCGACAGACCAAGGGATAAAAGTTTCAGTTACTCGGGCGTAAAGTTGTTTAAATTGGTTCCGTGCGGCTCTGGGTTGATGCACCAGTTTACTGAGTTGGCTGCTGAGACGATCGGATTTATGCCAGCTTTCCAAACGTTTGGTCGAGCTGGGGTTTTGGCCCTCGCTGCTGTTGCTGTGAACCTGAAAATGAGCACAACATAATCACTTCTTCCTGAAGGAGGAAGATGTTGTATGAGATCCACATCCTCACCGTTTTCAAGGTAAAGCTAGAGGCTCCATTTCAAATGGGGGATATGCCATATAATCACCCCACCTTCAGTGTGCATTTACACTTCACGCACTACCTTCTGAACAACCGTTGGCCAAAGCACTTACCCACCTGTGGGGCAGAGCACAACCAGCTACTACTGAGCACCATCACAGGGATACGGGATTTAGACTATGACCAAATCACTATAGCTGGAGACTTCAGCACCACATCTGCAAACATTGACTCGGGGAAAATTCGGTCGAAATCCGAAACAAACCACTAGAAATAAAGGGCTGAGTGAGAATGTTAAAGATGACACAAGGTGGGGGCCTAGTGGAAAGCCATTAAAGCTAGGTCGTGTTCTGTCTAGTGACCACCTACTTGTTTGTTATGTCCAAATCATTACCCCCCTATGCATGAGTGACCATGCAGTCATATGGTTTAATCTTGTTCTCCGTGAGCGCTTACAGTGGGATGCCATGCAACTATGCCTGTGCTATAGCGAATCTGATTATGCCGAAATGTGAAGACTTTTGTCCGTCGCGGAATGTCTGACAGAATAGGCTGAGTTTCCTGTGGATGAACACTGGGAAGTGGTAAAAGAGATTATTCGCACAGCAGTCTCAGATACTGTCAATCTAGTCACAACACAGCCGAAGAACAGGACTGCAATGTATTCTGCAAGAGAAATCGAAGGCTTGGTGTACGTGGTGAATATCTAAGAGTCAGACGGACCACGACGCATACCTGGAACTCAGGAACTGGTGCAACGTGAGAGACACGAGTGACAGGAGGTCATTTCAGGCTAACCTTGCCAAAAAACTCCTGGCGAACCCCAGAAGCTTGTACCGACTCATGCTGGAGGGAAAATCAACCGACCAGGGGGCATGCAGCTTAATTGGTCCAAACACTCAATAACTCACTAGTCTGGAAATAGCTGAAACATTCCGTTTAGAATTCGCTAAACAGTTAAACAGCGATGTGGGTAAAACCGGTATAGGCCAAAAAGGCGGCTCTGCAATTTATCGAAGGAAAACCTAGTGACTATTCTCCAAATAAACCAGGCAATAGTACTAGAGAAACTAATGCAACTCCCATCCGGAGAGTCCCCAGGTTGTGATGACAGCAGGCCATCTGTTCTAAAAGTGCACAGAAGCTCTCTGCAGGCCCTTATGTGACTTGATCCAACACTCACGGGACTCAGGGAACCTGCCAAGAGAGTGGAAAAAGTCATCCCTTCGCCAAGTTTTAAGGGTGGGGACAGGCAAAATAATAATAATAGTATATTCTCATATTTTTACATGAGGGACGCCAGTTTACAGGCATCATCAATTCGATAAATTACACATACGATTATTAAGTATAGTCAGTAATGATAATATAATACATTATATATATATACATATTTATTCCTACAAATATAGGACACACAAGTTGTATAGGCATGGATAAGTATTATTTAAGTCACATATTTAAATTACATTATTTACGGTTAAATAACATGGTTGCTGTCATTTTATCTTTAGTTTGTGGGACAAGTCGGATAACTGGTGATTCAATGGAACACATCAAGAAATATAGAGATATTGACTTCGCATTAACAAAAAACCCAAGTATGCGTTGGATGGATTGCATATACTTGGGAAAATAAATAAATGCTACCAGTTATAGACCACAGGCGTTACTCCGGGTGGTATCAAAAGTTCTGGAAGGCATGACTGATGGCCACATCAGGGGACGTCTTAGCAGGACTACCAGACATCATGAAGCACAGCATGGTCTTGGGAGAGGTAGATCCTGTGTAACAAACATACTATCAGCTTGGGACGATTGGACATCATGCTAGGATATGGATATTCCAGTCCATGTGATCTTTCCAGACTTTGAGAATGCACTTACTACAGTTCAGCACTGCCTTCTCCTATGCAAAATAAGTCAGGCAGGTGTAGGTGGGCCGCTTCTGTCATGGTTGGACGACTACCTAGATGAAGGGAAATTCTGCACTGAGGTCAATCGTAACCAATCATCCTGGCACGGCTCGTCATCAGGAGTATCACAGTGCTTTATCCTAGGGTCATTGATTCTTGCGATTTTTATTATAGACCTACCATGCCGTCTAAGCTGCCCAACTCTTCTTTACTCTGATGACGTAAAGATTTGGAGAGTAATACAGTATTCGAAAGACTAAGATAGACTACAGGCAGGCCTGCAACTTCTGGAAGGCTGGGAGGTGGCCAGTGGTCTGATTTTCAACCTGAAGAAGAGCAAAGTAATGAAATTGCGCACATGTGGACTGTAGAATTCAACTTACACCATGAGCAACAAAAGCCTGTCCCACACAGTGTCGTAGTATGACTCGGGTATAGTTCTGACTGGGAAAATGGACACAAGCGTGACTTACACGGGAGACGCAGTAAGGGCATATACGGTCATGCATTTTACACCTAGACAGTTAGGTGAACTCACTCGTAAGCTCTTTCTAAGGTTCAACAAAGCATACATCAAACCATACTTTGAAGTGCACAATATAATTGTTCCCCAGCTGTTTAGAAGAGATGCTAACCTTTTGGAAAGAGCTCACCAAAAGGGTGATGGTTCTCCGAAACAAACCTTACGTTGAATGGCCAAAGAAATTAGGTCTCTTCATTCTTAGCTACTATCGGCTTAGAGGGGACTTAATTTCTGCCTGTAGGATTACAAATGACCAGGATCACCCAAACAAAGGTGTTCTACCATTAAGTCACTATGGGATTCCTCGTGGAAATCCCGGAAAGACAGCTCACCAGAGAGCAAAGACTCGAGTGCGCTCCCATTGTTTTCACTTCGAGTTTGCCGTCCCTGGAACTCTCTACTGGCAGGTGCAGCTATGGCACCGTACGTGGACAGGTTTAAGAGAAGATTGGGCAAAAACACCTAAACTCATAGATTTGCTTCACATTTTGTTTTGTTTTACTGTCCTGACTACTCCAACTAATACATCCCTTACACTATTATTATTACTGATGGGTGTATATGTGTGTATGTATACACATATGTACTGTATATTTATATATATATCAATTTAAAATTTCATAAGCTGTCTGTGTTTCGGTTTTCTTTCTTTTGTTTTTACTGAAGATCAGGAACCTTCAACTGACAATCACAGGAAGCGAGCACAAACTGGTTTACACTAGCTAATAAAAAATGATATTGGATACTCACGGCAGGACGAACTGCATACAAGACTACCAAATATCAAGAAACCTTAACTTAAACTAAGAAGTGAGTCCAAAGAAGTCAATTCTGATCTTACCATCACGTAAAAACTGTATTGGATATTAGAAGTTGTTTTTCTAAAGCGGAGTTAAGGTGAACTGCCTCAGGCTCAACTTTAAATTATTCGGAGAACTCGTTACAAGTAAGTGTTATAAATCTGCGTCACATTTGTCTGCTTTTAATAATAAATGGGTGGTAAAATTAATAAAACATTTTTCTGGTGCAGAAGAATGGCACTTAAGGCTAATATTGGATATTGGATACACCATTCCCCAGCATACTAGAAAATAAGATTCCAGTGTCAGGGTTTTGACACTGACTACATGTAATCACTAAACATGTGAGAAACGCATGAATGAAGGGGATAAAGGTTGAGAATTTTTTAAATAACCAAATATATATTTTCATGAATCACTTTTTCTCTGTTTTCCCTCAAAATATCTCCAAAATATCATAGATTTGGTGTCAGTTTTTAAACTAGAGCACCTGAAAGATTTTCGCTTTAAAACATTTAGGGATTACTGATCTTGGTATTTAGTTGACGAACTGAATAAGATAAAGCGACCATATATTCAGTACACCATATTTACTTGTCAAAACTTAGTCTAAACCAAAGTACAGAGATGCAGGCTCCTTTATTGCATAAACTTAAAATAAACACATCAGTTGGGTTCTTATTCCGTGTATTCCTTACATAAAGAAGACTGTGGAATATTTCATCAACAAACCAAATTGTTTTCTTTGCGCTGGCTTCTTGGTTGTAAGGGAAAAATTCCTGGTCTTCGGTAAAATTCTGTGCAGTATGTCCCGCCACTTAAATGTCATTACTTTGATTGACTTGAAAAGAAGAGGTGTTGGGATTAATCATATATGGTTTGTAGTCTACGGCAAGTTAAAACTGCATTGCTACTGCGAATAGAGTTGGTCTTCTCACCTATTAGTCATCCGGTATGGTAGGCAAGAGAGACATTAATAACAGATATTATTGTTATAGACTATGTAGATTTAAAGAGAAATACGTACAAACAAATAGGTGAAGAAGTTCAGTATAAATAAAAAATAATAATTAAAGCGAGTGATCCAAGGTAGAATGGCCTCTGATAAAGGACGGGTTTACATGTATAACTATTAATAGTTTGTGTTAGTTATAGGGGATTAGGTCATTTGGGTGCAGTTCTTGTGTCACTGCATTTTTGTCTAGCCTCCACTTAGAGTTTTCCATCATAGGTCCAGTAATCACAGAGTTCCAGGAGCGGCAAACACAAAGAAAAAATAATTGGAAGCTCATTTGGATCGTTGCTCTGTTATGTGCCATCCATCGTGGATTTCCACGAGGAAGCTCGTAGTGAGTTAATGGCACAATACGTTTGTTTGAATGGTTCCGGGGCAAGAGTAAACAATAGACACCAAAGCCAAATGACCTTGATTTGGCCAACCAGATAGCTCAGCATTACAAATGGTTGCTAGTCATAAACCTTGTTGAAAATGTCTCCTAGGTTTGGTTTTTTGACTTCTCTGTGGAAAATGTGTTGATAGGAAGGAATAAAACATGCATATGTGGAGGGATAATGACTCTGAAATAGTATTTCCGGGCTATTAATGGTTATACATTCAGATGCAACCACTTCCCATGAGGAGGTCTGTAAAGGTTGGTAAGCCGTACACAACTGTTGATTTTTTAGACGCTTTCTTCTCGAAATCAAAGCGCCCCCTTAGTAATATATTGCGTATATGCAACCAGTATCTGCTACAGCTGGAGAAATAGAAAATACATTGGTTTGATATGTCTATAACCACTTCTATGGGAACCTGGGACCAGTTTTTGCAGCATATTAGACATATATACCCTATATGATTCATTTTAATTACATATATATCGTAGGTACACTTCCTTTTCGCCTAGAAGAATCTGATTAGTTAAATCAAGGTCATTTGACTTTGGTGTCTATTGTTTACTCTTGCCGTTCCGGTCATTTGTAATCTTGTATGCGGTGATTAGGTCACCCTTAAGACTACTGTATATATATATATATATATATATATATATGGAAGTCTCCTGATAACATGAAGAGCAAGCGCATAAATTATAATGATTCGTTCCACTCATTATCAGTCTCCACAATGCTCAGAGGTCTATTTGTGAGACTTTATATAACATGAAACTGTTGTTTCTTTCATAGATGTCGATTAATTTCGTAATCATGGATTTCAGTGTGTATGAATATCACTGTGTCAAGTAATTTAGGTGTAAATTTTGTTGTCTTAGGAAATTACGGGGATAATTTTTGCGTAGAAAATGGCGAAATGAGGGTTTTGGAGCAACTAAATGTTAATATTCCAGGAAAATGCATCATATTTTTCCAAAATGTTAGCATTGAACTGCTCCAAAACTCTCCGGTCACCACAAAATATTTACCTTGGTATTCCTTCATAAGCCTCTTCACTACACTGAGGTGTTTTTGGAAGTGTTACCAACCTAAAACCTTTTGTAATTTTGGTACAATCGGACTTCATTTTCCTCCATTCCCTTGTTTCCAGACCAATCAAAATATACTAATAAATGTGAAGAAACTTTACTCAGTTACTTTGTAATGTGTTTACTAAAGAATGATTGCAATAAGCTAACAGTCAAGCTTGAGACAAAGTAGAGTTACGGGTCTTTGATTCTGACACAGTCAATGAACGTTGAAATGCTGATTTCGTAACCCTAAGGTTCGATTTTAAATCGCTTGTAGAGTCGTTGGCTTAGATTTCTGCAATATGTCGAAATACAACATAACAGATTTCCAGTGCTTCATCATTTTTCTCCTCTCTTTTGGCCTTTCTTCTATCCATGCTAAAACGTTTCCTATCATTATTATTTGTTATTATTTTGATTACAGCTTGATGCCACACCGTATTTTTAGGTACAGGTATGGAATTTTCAGCATGGATATCGGTAGCCCAAATTTTGCAGGCCAACCATAGATATCGGGTGTGCGCCGGCAAGGGGTCGAACCCAGGACCATGTGCATGGTCGGCGAGAGTCCTAACCACTGTGCCACCGACGCGGTTTTGTCAATAAATCGGCTAGGGTAACCATTTCTGCGAGAGTTGCTTTTAAGAAGGAAAATTCTGAGTCAACGCAATCAGAACTACAAATGTTTCTTATCCTGAAGCAGAGCGGCTAAGTTAAGTTTCCTTGCCTGTAGATACACAACCAACTATAAAAATTAGTTAGTTTCCCACTACATGTACGTTCCCAGTGGATGGATCTTCTCAGAGATCCATTTCCTATGGTGAATTGCAAAGAAGGATGGCAGTTGCTACCATATACATGTGGTGAGAGCTGGCTGCTAGCCAAAGTTGGTAGACAGTAATTGACGTCAATGTTTATGTCCCCCCAGTATTGGTGGTGAGAAAATGAGAACAAAGGCTTTGCGTAGGCGGATTCAGTTAGCATATGGATAATCTGACATAGCCACAAAGAGATGCAAGGTTAACTTTCTGTGAGAAACAACCAATCAAAAGACTGTATTGTCTACTAACAATAATCTACAATAATGTACATTAAAATCTATAAATATATGTTGATTTTCCTTAGTAAACGATCTGTTGCCTGGCCCTTGTCTTCTGTAGTTATATACATACCATTGCACATCTTAATAATAAATTCGTTGAAAAAAGTCTCTTCGCTTAAAATTATGTTCCGAATGTTACAGTGGGCATTATCAAATCACTGAAAACCACTAAAGTCACCAACTTTATTATTTGTAGCATTAGGAATGAAAACGTCAGTAGGAGAGAGTATGAAAGATTTGTTATGAGTATTTACATCAACAGAGGGAACAATAATACTTTGTTTGTTTAAAAAGTTTCCACATGTTTGAGGGGGTTTTCATATGAAAAAAGTCTTTCGTTACTGAAGAGTATTCAAACTTTGGATTTCAAATTTGTTTAAGATGTCAATCCTTTTTAGACCAGACTTATCTTTTCTCCACTCACTCTGTTATGACTGATGAGAAGCGAAGTATTCACCGCATTTGATCACTCATAAAATGGAGAGAGGTGTGCTTTCTGCTGGAGTTCATGTAGCCAGAATACAGCATCTGTATCATCCATCCCCAACCAGCACTTTTCGATAACAAGTTCCTTCTTAAAAATATCCAAGGGTGACTTGGAGGAGGTCATGTGAACAGGAGGTGAAAACGTGTGGGCAGACATGGAGCCAGGTGAAGACTTTAGCAGAGAACCGAACTCAACGGAGACGCACGGCTGAAGCCCTATGTTCCTCTAGGAATTAAAGGAAACAATAATAATAATAATATGGGGTTTGTCTAGCATGCGATGTCTAGCAGTGTGTGTCCAATCCATCTCCGTTTTCCTCAGGATATTTGCTAACCAATAAGTCTGTTGTTGGTTCCTTGCCACAGTTCCTGGTTGTTAATCGTTTCTGATAGGCCACCTGATCTTCAGTCTGGAGGGGGGGGGGAGAAAAGAGCTGTTGATAGAAATCTGAAGTTGCCTGCTTGAGATGCTTACGGTGAAGTACCAAGTCTCTGACCCACAAAGAAGAAATTATTTAACAGTGATGTTGAATATCTGAATTTTTCTCTTTATATCTGTTATGTGTATTCGATATCGATTCGACGAATAAAGATACTTCGAGAGAATGGTTAATGAACAGAGAATAATCTTTTCGATAACTTCATCAGGTTCTTCAGTCATATATACATAATAGTAGATGAATGAATTAGTGTTATTAACAACATTAATGCTGTTTAAATAACATCGAATCAATAATAATATCAATAGATTACAGTTAGATGGCGTCAACATAACAACACACTGAATTTCAGGAAAATTAGGAGAAATAATAATAATACAAATTCATGAATTTATAGTCTCCACTGAAGGCTGGCCAGAGCGGTAGGAGTGGCTGGCTGAACTTGCTTCTTTTACACATAGACCAACGGTTGTTTCAGGCGAGTCACAATAGCCTGTGATGTTTGGAGCATGAGGTAACTCGATGTTTTTGGCAATTTGTTTGGTACCCTGTAGATAATAGAGAAGGATTCTTCAACGCTGGCTTTGTGGCCGGCTGAAGCCCTATGTTCCTCTAGGAATTAAAGGATACAATAAATTAATAATAATATATATGCA